TGCATTTTGAGTTAATTTTTCTGAAGGATATAAGGTCAGTGTCTAGATTTACTTTCTTGCAAGTGGATGTCCAGTTGATCCAGCACCATTTGTTGAAGAGACTATCTTTGTTCCATTGTATTGCCTATATCTTTGTCAAAGATTAGTTGACTGTATTTAAGGGTATCTAACTATGGGCTCTCTGTTCTGTTACAGTGACCTATATTTGTTTGTTCTTTTGCAACCACCACACTGTCTTGATACTGTTTCTATAGTAAGTCTCAATTTTGGGTAGCATCAGTCCTCTAACTTTGTTCTTCTTAGGATTTAGTTCTTAATATTTCCCCAAATATATATATGTATATATATTATTTTTCTCTTTAGAACATTAAAATTTTAAAAATAGAGGCCTTTTATTACATGCTTGATCAATATTCATCTTATTTTAGAATTTTCTTGAGAGAAAAAGAGTCCAAACATAATGATTGTTATTTATTTAAACCTATATACTTGTTTATGTTATGAAATATTTATCAGGGGATGTATATGAGGATTTTACACAAATAAATAACATATTAAATTCATTATCTGTTTACCAGTATGATTTGAATAACTTTTATGTATAAAACGTACTCAGAACAGGGAAAACTTACCTTGATGGAATATTGATAATTATATTATTTTTTCTCAATAGGATTAGAATTTCTTAGGTTACTCTAAGTTTTTCTTAAAGGAAAAATTAGCAGTATTGGATATTTGTCTACATCTTCTCTGAAGTCCAACTACTGACATTAGATTTTGATGCATAAACAACACAAAGTAAATCGTGTTCTTTCCAAAACTGAATAAAACAAAATGACAAAAACCTGTTAACAACAGGATTAACATTATAGGGTGGAAAGTAAACAAAGCAAAGTACTTACTTTGGTTGTCCATGATTTAAAGAGTTCTGAAAAAGAAGACCTCATATTAGTACACTGTCTACAAATTTGTAAGTCAAGATGACAGTTGGAACAAGATACTTCTGAAGCTGTACAGTCACACACATGGGGTATTCCTCTTTATCCATCTATTACAGCCATACATGGCCATTTAAATCCTTTTAGCTTGACTCCATCCCCACAACTGCTTCATAGTAGGACTTTAGAAGTTGTAGGGGAGCCCAGGATGGTGACAGTTTTTAAAAGGCTTAGGAGGAGAGGGGCCAGTGAGACAGAAAGCCAGGAAGAAAAGCTGTGACCCTAAGACTCTACGTGGTAACCAAGTTACAAATCAGAGCCTTTACAGTGAACACAACCTGAGGGTGGCACGTGACCCAGCACACAGCCTCAGGGCTGGGCTGCAGGCATGGTCCAGCATGAGAAGGAGAAAGGTCAGCTATCTGGTCACACTACTGCAACTATCTCTGGAGATTCCAGGTCCTGTGGATATGTTCTACCCAGCTTGAACAGCAAATTTGGGAAGGCCTGCCTCTCTGTTTCATGTATCGATACATGCTTTTAGCCAAAACACATAAGCTGGGGAATTGTGGCAGCACCATGATAATCCAACTGAAAATTTGTGTTGGTTATTTCTACAAAAACAAAAACAATTTAGTGCCTTGATTCCATTCTAATCTTTCCCACTCCTATCCATCCAGTCACTACTTTCCCTACCTCTCCACTTTAAATCCTAACCCCTCTATGTGCCTTTTAATTACAATTAACACATGTGATAAAAGCTGTTATCTGATTGATTCGTCTTGGACCACACATTAATATGGATCAGTCCTTCCCCTTCACAGCCTCTCTCTAGGCTTGGCTGCCCTTTACTAACTCCTTCTACTGTGTTATCCTAAGTGGTAAATAAGGGTCAGTTGATCCTTCCACATCATTAACTAAAATCTGGTGTTCCCAAGAAGAAACCACATCTCTCCTTTCCTTTTCTAAATTATTTATTTATCATTGCATGCTTTAATCATAAAATTTAATAATATAGTAAAACTCTTAGGACTATTCCAATTATAGTCATCTCTTAATTGTATATACCAAAGAAGTTGAGTAATGGGTTTTCTTGGCCCTGCAAAAAAATTTTAAATATATGTTTTTTAATAGATTTGACTCCCTGGATTTTCCTAGAACAATAGCAACCCTATTAACTGGTCAGTAACCATGGCCAGGAACCAGCTCAGCCAGAAGGGCAAAAAGATTGAAATTTGTATATATATATTTTGCAATTAATCAATAAGGGGAACAATAAGCTAATAAACACATGTAACAGAAGTATACTAAAAGTTTTCAAAGGCCATATTAGTGTCTTATGCTCTATCACATGAAGAACTAAAAAAGGAGAGTAAATTCTTACATATATCTGGCCGTGATTCCTTTTGTCAACATCACATTTTTATGATCAAAGATTATATATTAAAATTCATACCTATTATCTTTAAATATGCTAAGAGTACCTTAACATATATATATAAAGATTAATAGACTAATAAATTCTGGAGTAGGAATAAGCAGTAGCCCTTAATTAGCACACTGAACTGAACAGCTGAGTTTTTACTTAACAACTGTTTCTCACAGGACCACTCTGTAATATGCTCAGTTTTTAAAAAAATGTTCTATGGCTTTTAATCAACTTTAGCAATTTTAAGGGACAGTTGTTTCAGTCATTCTCATCTTGCCTACAATATCCAAAAAACACACTCATTTCAAGGACAACTACTGACTAATATCCAGAAGTACTATTTTTAAAATTAAACAACAAAAATTTTGTCTGAACAGACCACTGAAATGGGAAAAAAAAAAAGATCCATAGTTTCTGGAGTGCAAATCTATACCTCTGAGATGGAAAAAAAGTTTTAATTTAAAATACAGTTAGTATTCAGTTGTTTGAGCCTGAGAAACTCAGTGCAAGTCAGAAATAATGTTCTAGGAAAATAATTCATACACTAATACCTCTGCATCGTATTAGGAACAGGTGGAGGCTCTTAAGCAGTGGAGTGCCATAAGTTCCCGAGTCCTTGCCAAATGAGTACCAGCTACGAATATAAGAGTATTTACCTTTTACGGGGCCAGAGAGAATTACCTCCTTGCACTGAAATCCAAGGAAAGGAAACTAAACAGACTCTTAAACAGAGCTCATTTGTCAAATTTGCTCTTTTCTTTCCTACTTGGCTACATTATTTTGAGTCTTAAACTATAGATTTGTAAAGCATAAGTACCTGTTGGCAAAACTACTGCAGAACAAAATCTGGGTGGTCCTCACTTTCCTGTAGGTTTTGATTTTCACAATCCATAATATTTCAGGCATGAAGTAGTGTCATAAGCTCTGGTGCAAAATGTGAAGTGACAGTTGTACCTGTATATATGCCAGGTAGAATGAATAAAGCTCCTGTGAACTAAAGATACCCACCACGTGCATCCCTGTCCAATCTTCTTTACTGTTTCAAGGATCTTGTGGGTTTCTCAAACTTCATGGGTCTATTATAAGACATAATGCCACTCAGTTTTTTAAATGACTGAGCTGTGTCTTGGCTGAATTAATTAATTAACATATTAACTTTTAAATAATGCCTTTTCCTACTCCTAGTGAGAAACAAATCCCAGTAAAGCTTACAAGAAATAGAAAATCATATTTATCTTGTACTAAAGGGAAAAAAACAGTCTCTAATAAAGTTATATTATATATTGTACCACTGGAATCATAATTGTTTCAGGACAAATACAGAACTTCGAATTATAGTATTATTACACACTTTTTAACACTGTTAAATAACAGCTTCTGAGGAAATTAAAGCATCATATATTACACACAAATGAATATATCTCTGTTAAAATTATTCTATCAGACACTATAAGATCCATTGCTGCTCTGGGATATTGGAAAATCACGAAACTCTGCTACGAAGGAGGAGAAACAGTGCGGGTGATACCCCACTATGGCTCCACGATTTATATTACAGGAAACCCTTTTGACCCACCTCTTGGGGGCCTGAATTTCTGTTTAATTGCATGAAAAATACTGAAGTGTTATCTGCAACCCAAGGGGGAAACATGCCTTATTTTGAAAGATCCTAAAACTACCATTCCTAAAACTAGGAATAAACTGGATTTGAATTACTTATCCAAATTTTACTTCTTAATTGCCTAAAAACAAGCCAGTCAACGTGTTCCTCATAGTCCCAAGATAGAGATACATGTTCTTAATTATTTTAGAAAAACACTACTGCTCTAAAAACAGTCCCGTAATTCTATGCCCCTAACATCCTACGAGTAATGAAAAATGAGATACTAGGGACTGGGTCAAATATTAAAAATAATAAATCTAGCCTTTACTAAGTACATTCTGCAGTGATAGACCCTGTCTGATAGTGTTAACACGTCATACTCTAACTCCTGTAACTTTTGATCGTTACACAATTTCAGAGATGATCAAGAAAGGAACGTGGAAGAAAGAGGCTCCGAGTCAGCAGTAGAGGCAGCTTCAAGTCAGGCAGGTTGACTCCTGAGCTAATGGCTTTATCCTCAATATGATAAACCGCCTGTGTCTTCCCACTTACGGCGTTCCAGGGCATCTAGCATAGTTTTGGCTCCAGCCATACTCCTCATTAATACTTACTGTTTAGGGACAGCTAGCAGGTTCTATTAATCGTCCCTTCTAATACCCTCAAGTGCTAGCCGACTCCCCTGAGCCCAGGTTCTGCCCATGATCCAGCGCTGCTCTCAGTGTTGTGAAAAGATGTACTAAGCAAGTGCAGCCTACAAGGTGGTTTCAGGCAGGAAACACGTTGGCCTTAGATAGGTCCTGAGACTGGCCAGGGTACCTCTGGGCTAGCTGGGCCCCTCGCTCGGTCTTACTCTGCTTCTGAGGTCGCTTCCGGAGGCCACTGGGCCACCATTCCTACCAGGTGAAGCCTCGCGCCCCGCCCCCACCGGCCGCCTTGGCTCCTGCACGTGCGCATGCGCCCTGCCTCTGCCCTGGTCCTGGGCAATAGGGACTGAGCCAGCTGAGACTGGGGGTCCAGGTGATTCTCTTACCCTGAGCCTTCTCGTGCTGCTGGAAGGCGTGGAGACCTGGACGCCGGACCGCCGCCTCAGGTAAGGCTCCAGGTGCGGATAGGCCGCCCTGCTCACTTTCTTGCCCCTGGCGAGGCTCCATTAATGTTGGTTCTGAGGCTCCAGGCTATGAGGAACAGGGACGTGGCCATCCGCGGGAAAGTAATTAACGAGGGAGTCGCCACCTCTGTGGTGGCTACTTGCATGAGTACACACTCATATGTATGTATGTACATATGTACGTATGTTTATGTATAGATGTACGTATGTTTATAGGTACATTCACTGAACTAATTGGTCAGTAAACAACAATATTTTTAGACTTCTTAACACCTACTGATTGTTCACATACACCTAAATATGAGGCATGAGTGTTACTGACTCAGTGTTAACCCAGTTGTAAATTCTACAAAGGTGCTCTCTGCTTGCTCCACCACTCTGCACCGTTTCCTCCTCTGCTGTCTCATCTCTAAAGTGGAAATAATATTATAAAAAGATTAGAGTCAAATAAGTTAATGTATAGTTAGTACATGTCTAATATGTACTAAATGCTCAATACGTGTTAAGTATTGTCATCACTATTATCAGCCTAGGTTGATAATGTGCTTTGATTTATTGCTAATCTTTTTTTTTCTCACCCTTCTGAATTTTTTGTTAACTCATGCTTTGGAATAAGGATTGCCAGAATAAATGAGATGTTTATATCAGTGGGAAGAATTACAGGTAACTAGACAAACTAGGGGGTGAATTTATCACCTTGTAAAGAACACAATGTACTAACTAGCCACATTCCTTATCTATGATTTGAAGTATAAACCTGCAGTTTTTATTTATGGATGAAAATATCATATTTATAATCGAAGTGTGTGTCATTTCCACCAGTTAAAAATCCAAAAGATTTAGGGAATTTATATATGAGGTCAGCTTGCTGTTTGATGGTAATCTGTTTATGTTTATTTACTGCCTGTATTCCCTGGGGTTTCTTAATTTACTTGCTGATTTCATTAAAACTGGCCACTGTAAAGACAAACGTGAACAAACTTAACCTATTTATTTATTTATATTTTGCTGCTACTCTGGCTTAGGAAATGAACTAACTGCTCAAGCACAGCTAAAAGGCTAGAAATTCTCCAAATTGCCTCTCTGTATTAAAGTAAGTCTTGAAGAATTAACTTGAGATAATACATACATAACTCCTAATAGGTACAGCTCTGTTAAGTCATAAAATCAGAATTTATTCAGAGGTATTCAGAATCAGATGAGGATTCCAAGATGTATATATTCACTAATACACAATCCAGACAAATATATCTGTGGGATTTATTCCATCTGTATTCATAGTGGATGAATATAATGAGAAATTTGGCATATATATTCTGACTTGGAAGTTAAGACTGACTTTCACTCAGCAAATATATATCAGGCTTCTTCTATGATATCAAGTACTGTGCTTTGCACTAGGGAAGAAAAATTGAAAAAGTCTGTTTTTCTGAAAGTAGTACCATCTAGTGGCAAGAACACCCAAGTTGTATGTCTATAATTGCTATGAAATGTATATTATCATTTTAAACTCTTATTAACTTTTAAAAATGTGTGTAAGTTAGTATTTTTGTTTCTTGTTTGTTTTTAATATGGGAAATTTAGCCTTCTAAATTAGCTAAATCTTTAGAGGTTTGAAATTGTACATGAATATTTGTTTTTTCAAGCAGAATTTATAAAAGAAGTAGTTTTCCTTTATGTGTTTTAGCAAACCCTCATCTGTCTACCTTGGTAAATTAAAAAAAAAAAGAGCAATTTAAATCCAAAATAAGCAGAAGAGAAATAATAAGAATTAGAGAAGAAATCAATGCAATTGAAAACAGAAAATAGAGAAAAATCAATGAAACCAAAAGCTGGTTCTGTGGAAATATCAATAAAGTCAATATGCCTCTAGACAGGCTAAGGGAAAAAAAAAGAGAGGACATAAATGATTAACATTAGAAAGGAAAGAGGCCATGGCACAGATCCCATGGACATTTAAAGAATAATAAAGAATACTGAACAATTCTGTGCCCACACATTTGATAACCTAGATGAAATGGACCAATTCTTTGAAAGACATAGTCTGCCAAAATTCAAAGAAGAAATAGCCAATCTAAATAGAACTATAACTATTAAAGAAATTGAACCATAAATTAACAAGTTTCCAAAACAGGAAGCACCAGACCCAAATGGTTCACTAGTGATCTCTATCAAATAATTAAGGAAGAAATTATACCAATTCTCTACAATCTCTTGAAGAGGATAAAAGCAGGGAAAATACTTCCTAACTCATTTCATTAGGTCAGCATTACCCTAACACCAAAACCAGAGAAAGACATTACAAAGCGAAGAAACCTACAGACCAATATCACTTGTGAATATATATGAGAAAACCTCAACAAAATATTAACAAAATGAACCTAACAACATATGAAAAGAATTACATACGATGCCCAAGTGGGATTTATCCCAGGTATGCAAATATGGTTCAACATTTGAAAATCAATTAACATAATATGGCACATCAATAGATTAAAAAGAAAAATAACATGATTATATAAATACATGTAGAAATTGCATATGACAAAATCCATCATCTATTTATGATTAGGAAAAAGAAAGTCTCAGTAAACTAGGAATGGAAGGGAAGTTCCTCAGCTTGATACAAAAATATCTATAAGATTGTACTGGAATTCTAGCTAATGCCTTAAGAAAAGGAAATAAAAAGCATACAGACTGGGAAGGAAGAAATAAAGTGTCTTTATTCATGTAGAAAATCAGAAAGAATCACAACAAAAACCTACTGGAACTTATAATAAGCAAGTATTAATGTTTCAGGATATAAGATTAATATACAAAAGTCAATCATTTTCCTATACCAGAAATGAACAAGTGGAATTTGAAATGAAAAGCACAGTACTGTTTACATGAGTACCCTGAGCATGAAATATTTAGATATAAATCTAACAAAGTATGTACAAATTCTCTATGAGTAAAAGTACAAAGACTGATGAATGAAATCAAAGAACCAAATAAATGGAGAGATAATCCATGTTCATAGTCAGGAATGCTCAATATTGTCAGGATGTCAGTTCTTCCCAACTTGATCTATAGATTAAATGCAATCCCAGGTAAAATCCCAGGAAAGTTATTTTGTGAATATCGGAAAAAAACCCTGATATTAAAGTTTATATGAGGAGACAGAGACCCAGGATAGAGAGCACAATACTGAAGGAGAAGAACAAAGCTGGAGGATTGGCAGCACTGGACATCACGACTTAGGACAACGAAGCCACGGTAATCGAGACAGTATACTGTCGGTGAAAGAGCAGATGAATCGATCAACAGAACAGGACAGAGAGCCCAGATGTAGACTCACAGAAACAATCTGTCATTGTGTCTGCTTTTTGTAAGCCTGTTTTTCTGCTCTCTCTCTCTGTCTCTAGTAGAATAGGACTGGTAGGCCCATGTATGAAGAATGCTTGTTATCTTTAGGGTGAGTAGATGGAGAAACCACTCCTTGGATGTTGAAGTGGGGAGAGCTTTGCTCTATGGCTCTGGAAGGCATTTCAACAACTTTAGAAATCTTAATTCTGCATATGCAGTTAATTGGAATTATTTAAATAAGAATGCTATCTTTGGATGTCTAGGACTGGTGCTGGGCTGATTGTGCTTAATGTGCACGGGGAAAAGGAAGGGGTTTAGAAGTCAGGTGAGTTTGGGGCAATCTGACTAGCACAGTATTTCAGTAGACAGATTTTCAGTTAACATCTGCCTGCTCCCATCTTGCATGACACTGCTGTCTTTGAGACAGTTACCACCAAAGATAAGGTCTTTTCTTCATTGCAGACTGTCCCTATGTGTTCCGGGCTATCTTTTGCTGGTTCTGATTTATCCATCTGTATCTTCACTTACTAAAATTTTATTATAGACTTAGGAGATAGGGGAAATACATCCTTATTTTTATTTGTTTTGAACTGGAGAGCAACATTTGAGACACTTGTTTACAAAAGTAAATCTATTGGGAAAAAATGTATATATTTTTCCAAAGAAGACATACAGATGGCCAACAGACACATGAAATGTTGCTCAACGTCACTAACATCAGGGAAATGTAAATCAAAAAACACAATGAGATATCACCTCACACCTGTAGAATGTTGTCAAAAAGACAATAAATAACTGTTGGCGAGGATGTGGAGAAAAGAGAACCCTTGTGTACTTTTTGTGAGTATGTAAATTGGTGCAGCTATAATGGAAAACAATGTGTAGTTTCCTCAGCAAATTAAAAATAGAATTACCATACAATCCAGTAATTTCACTTCTGGGTTTTTATCCAACAAAGATGAAAACACTACTTTGAAAATAAAGCACTAATTTGAAAATGAACCCATTTGTTCATTGTGTCATTATTTATAATTGCCAGATATGGAAGCAACCTAAGTGCTCATCAAAAGATAAACAGATAAAGAAGCTGTGTGTGTGTGTGTATACATACACACATATTTATATATGTGTATATATAATTGAATATTACTCAGCTATAAAAAGCAATGATGAAAGCTTGACATTTGTGACAAAGTTATCCTGCTAAGTGAAATTGTCAGACAGAAAAAGAAAAATACTGTATGATCTCTTTTATGTGGAATCTAAAAAAAATAAGTTGATAAGAGAATATATTGGTGGTTACCAGAGGCAGTGGTTAGGGGTTTGTCAAAATGGATGAAGGTGGGAAAAATGTACAAATTTCCAGTTATAAGACAAATAAGTCCTGGGATGTAATGTGACACATGGTGAGTATAGTTAATAATACCATATTGTGTATTTGAAAATTCATAAGAGAGTAAACCTAGAAGTTCTCATCACAGGGAAAAATTCTAATTATGTGAGGTAATGGATGTTGACTAAATTACTGTGGTAATCATTTTGCAATATATACATATTTCAAATCATTGTATTGTACACCTAAAGCTAATACAATGTTATTTGTCAATTGTGTCTCAGTGAAACTTGGAAAAATATTACTACATTATGTGCTGTTCTAAACAACGTGTCAAGATTCCTGTGAGGCTGCATCTTCCTGCTCCTTATCAGGCAATAGTCAATTGCAGGTTGTCTGATTATTGACGATGATTACTTTGCTGACAATGATCAGTTTGATCACATGATCATAGTGGGGGCTGCCAGACTTTGCTGTGAAAGTTGCTCTTTCTCTCTTTAAAAGTAAAAGGATTTCATGGGAAAATATATCGAAGTCATATATATCTTTTTCTTCATCAAACTAAACTTTCATGTTTCTTATTATCTAAAGGTACATAGTGTTCTATTTTCTCTAATGATTAATAATCTTATAAAATATTTTGATGTTCAGATTGTCCTTAATTTTGTGGCTGGAGTTCTTTCAACTTTATCCTTTTGACACGCCACCATCATTCCTTGAGCACTTCCTTGCTATTCCATAAATTGTTCGAGGCTCATCTTGTACTTTTCCTGGCTTCAACTCTGGGATCAACTATTTCTCAAAGAGCCCAGTTTGAGTGGAGAATGGTATTTAGAAACCAAGAGCTAGGACTTGGTCGGCAGAATGATGACCTGAGATATGACACTTTCTCTTTGTTCTTTTCAGGGTGAAAATGATAGGAAAAGGGAGCCCCTGCTCCGAATGATCCATGATCCCACATCTCTCTAAGTCACCTCATGCTGATGGACAGAATCTCTGAACTGGTAAGGTTTCTGCTCAAAGGCAGACATGGGAAATGGGGGACAAGGTCACAACACCTTTATAGGATTTCTTTTTGTTTCATATTTGGTCCTTTAAATGTCTGTGATTAAACAGTGCTGAACTGGTTGAACCTTATTGATGAAGTAAGAAAAAATGAACTAGATCGTGGGAATATCATGGAATTCAGGCTACAGAAACCATTCTACTAAGGCCTAATAATGTCTGTAATAATTGTTTTGTGAAGAAATAATCATAATAGGTGTTATTATTATTTAAGAACACAAGTAGTTATTTTCATGAATTATTCTGATATATGGTCAATTCATTCACCTAAAAGAATACAGTTTGTCCTGATTGCAAGAAAGTTTTCTTACTCTTTATTATTTTCTTGGCTCCATCTGAATTTTCCTTCTGGAATTTCTGTTGTGCATAAAATGAAATTGATGTATATGTCTCTCAGGAATCATCTTTTTTCTCTATAGTTTGTGTTTATCTGACTTTCAGGAGAATTTATAAATTTTTTTATTGTATTGTATTATCTTTCTACTTTATGTAATCTACTGTTCCATTGTCTCCATCATACTTTAAAATGTGGTCATCATATTTCACACCTTTACTAAAATTCTGCTGCATCAGAATGTTCCTTTTTCTCTGCTTCTCCAGAAATGAATATGCAACATCCCCTAAATGTCACTGAGGTTACAAATTAAGACGTATGTTGCAATTCCTGATATTTTTGTTATTTAAATTTATAACTTTTTATGTTTGATGACTTCTCTCTTTGTAAGTATCTAATGAGAAGTTATTGTCTAGTATTTGAACTTAAATGAATTCTGCAGATAGTGTGTGTTTCTGCTCAAGGCTTCTCTGTGCAGTTGAGGAAGGAAGGAATTCAGATCTGTTGTAGATTTACTTTGCTTAACCAGAGATCCTGAGTCCTATGCAAATAAGTGGGAGGAGGAAAACAGGGAGGCTGAGGGGGAAAATTAAAGCAAGATGTAGCTGTCACAGAGATAATGTCAGTCTTTTAGCCTCCTTTTGGGTTGGTTGTGGTACCTGACTGCTGGCCTGGAAAGCCCTCCCTTTCTCTAACTGGCATAACTAATGCTCCTGGGATCCAGCTGTGCAAGTGCCTCATCTACCTAGCATGCTGTCTGTACCAACTGTAAACGGACCTGAGTGCCTCAGTTACACTTCATCATCATGAGAACCTGGCATCTGGTGAATTGATTAGGCTAATGAAAGGTGGTCTGGACACCACTTTTCCCGTAGCCCCCTCCCCTCCCAGTGTTCTCAACATCAGGAGCCAGTGGTGCTGGAGTTCTGCTGAGGATGAAAGGGAGCCTCTCCCCTAAGCTCCTATTCCCTAAGCACAATTTCTCTTTGCATGAGGTAACCTGTGGGTTGGATCTCTCTCTCTTAATCCAATCTTCCCTACATAATCAATTGCAAAAATTTCTTTAACTTTCTGACAAGTTAGAAATCCTAGTTTCCAGTACTGTAATTGATTTTACTAATGGTTATCATATGCTTTCGCTCTTTTTAAAGGTGGTTTAAAAGGGAGAGATGTAAATGTACAGGGTTCAGAATACCACCTGAATTGTTCATGGTTTGTTTAAAAATATCGAATATGCAAAGAAATATATCAACAGTTTTTTATCAGTTATTTGATTATTGGTATAAGTAATAAAAGACCATCGTTGAAGTTTATACTCTGCGAAGGAATATGTATGTCTGTTAACACCTAGGGTGATCTCATAACTACCATGGTCTATGAGTGATAGAATATAGGAGGTAATGATTCGATATTAAAAATTACTCTCAAAATTGTAACCATACCCCAGTTTCAGAGTGAGTGAGACTTTACAATGTGTCCTTCTTTGGGACAGAGTCATATCTCTCTTTGTTCACTAAAAAAAATCAAAACTTGGTAATTTATTCTTCTGCTAATAAAAGTCTAATAGTGGCAGATTAGATTATAGGAGAAGTTTATGTAGTGTGAATTCCTGCATATAAAATAAATGCAAATTTTTACTTTTCCTTGGAAATACGTATATTAAGTATTTTTTAGGCATACTTATAAAGGAAATTTAATACATATTAATTTAATATATATTAACTTCTGAATATACAACATTTGCAGAATAACATTAGTTGTTACATATGTAAAAATGTAAGTAGATTTAATTAAGTATATTTTGTATTATACTTACTTTAATAGTCTTTAATTAACTTTTGCTATAAAATGGAAAAAAATAATACAATATAATTCAAAGCAGTTTTTATAAGAAGTTTCGTGTCTCAAGTTAAAAAGTCACATTCAAAGAAAATGTGTAAAAATATTTATAAGCCAGTAAACAAAATAAAATATATACTTTCGAAGTGAAATCACGTACCTGGGCTACAGGTATCATAGAGTATTTCACATATGGTATAATGACCTTCAAGGAAAAAACACTGAGTTTTCCTTTTACACAGTTCCAATCAGTGTAGACACTAAATTTTGATACTTTTTTTAAGATTGCTACAACAATCCTGCTGTCAAAATCTTAGCGCATCCAGTGTTTTCATAAAACATGAAATCCTAGATAAAAACAAAGATATAGAAATGAATTTTCAGCAGTAAAAGAGAGACAGTTCTCTGATGCAGAAATGCTAAGGGATCAGATTTAACAGTAATACATCTGTTAAATATGAAAAATTAACTGTAAAAAATAAAATCTGGGGCAAGTCTATAGCTACATAAGTCTACCTTAAGCTTTCCACTTTAATAGCAATTAAATCCTGTAAGTTTATTCATTTGTTGATGTCTGCATGAGTTTAATTAATCTTCTAGTAATCTCTCTCTATTTCACTGTATTTTATTTTACATATATATTTCATTATAATCCCCTTTGGCTCTTCCTTGTTTGTTCTTTCTTCCTCTACTTTTTGTAGTCCTTCTCTAGCAATGTAACTTGTGACTGGGGTTCCATGTACAATTTTTGGATTTTCTTTAGTAAGAATGACAGCCATGTCAAGAGTCAGAGTGCACATTAGACATTTTGTGTCCATTTCATGATTTGTCTTCCAATTTGCTAACTTTGTTTGCCAGATTGTTTCATTGTAACATCATCGATCTAGACTCCCTCCCCTATGACTTTAGCCAAATCCTATGAAATTCGTTTCTCTCACACCTATTATTTTCCTTTATCCCTTCAACAGAAATAATTTAATCCTTATTGCTAATAACTTGCAGTTGCACTATTACAGTTTTACCTCTCAAATTCATTTCTCACATAGACACCAGGATTTATCTTTCAAAAATTTGGATGTATAACTGGGTATAACTATAGATATGTATAAAATTTACTTATACCTAGTTTGAAACCAACAAATTAACAAAACAATTTTCAATGAATTGCCAATCTGTACAAAAAGTTACGTAATCTTTAAAGGTCCTTTAGAGGAAGGGCAAAGTCATTTCCTAATAAGCCCACCACCCCGCCTCAGTCTCATGACTGAGCCATGACACCCAGGGTTGCCTCTCTTCCCTAAACGTACCACATTGTTCACATTATTTCTGCCTTTGTTGAACCGTTCCCTCAAGGTTAAGGGTAGATTTTGCTTTTTCTGTGAAACCAACACTGAAAACACAGTTTTTACATAGAACTCTGGTTGTAAGTAATTATAGAAAATATTAAGCATATCCCAAATTAGACAGAATTGCATAACTAAGTCCCAAAGGGCTTTACCCAGCTTCAGTGAATATTAACGTGACTAATCTTGGTTCAGCAATTATTCCATCTCTTATATCCTGCTCTCTCCTTTATTACTTATAAGCAAACCCCGATATCATACCATTTGATACTGAAATATTTTAGGATTTGCCTATAAAAGATATGGATGGTGTTTTCTTTTCTATAACCACTATATCATCATTATTAGAGCTTAAAAAAAGCCTTAATAATTCACTAATATCATCAAATAGCCAGTCAATGTTCAAATTCCCCGAATGTCTTGTAAATGTGTTTTCACATTGATTTCTTTAAATCTGTAGCTAAACATGGTTCACAAACTGTATTAGGTTGATGTCTCTCTCCTTTTTAAAATTTTATTTTTATTTTTTTTATCTTTCTTGGTTTTTGTTGAAGGAATTGGCTCTTTCTGCTGTATATTGTCTCAAAATTTAATTTTTTCCAGACTGCATCCCCAAATGAATGTTTAAGATAGTCATCTAGTGATTCAAACCTTGCTTGCATATTGGAATCATAGGACAGCTCGAAACAGCTTGAAGGGTTGTTCCCACCTCCAGAGATTTTGGTTTACTAGATCTGGATGCAGTCTTGACATAGGGAGTTTGAAAAGCTACCCAGGTGCTTTCACTGTGCAGCTAAGGTTGAAAATCTTTGCTCTGTCCCAGATGTCTTTGACTTTGGCTGCATATGGAATCATCTGAGGAACTAGACAAACTTCTGATTCTGAGCTTCTGATTTAATTGAACTGGGGTGTGATTTGGTACTTGGGGTTTTTGAAATCTACCTAGGTTATTTAATGGGAAGCCAAGTTGAGGATCATCACTCTATTCCCATTTATTTTCTCTCGTTTGGCAGTTCGATTAATGGCTTGATTGAATGTAGACTTTTATTGCAGGTTACTCTCTTGTATTAGATGATAAAATTTAATAGTGAATCAGAAGGAAATCTCCCTGTTTGACTGAGTTGTTTCCCTTGTAAGCCCATATTTAAAGTATTCTCCAAAGCACCAATTTTGATTTTTTAATACAAGCCCCAAAGACCAGGGCATCTCCTTAACACGTAGGCCCTTCTGTTGACCTGTGAAACTGAGTAGGCTTTCCAGAGAGCACTAGTCACCGCTGAATCTGCAGTATCAGGAGAAAATGGAATTTCAGAGCTAGGATTAAATGGGAACCCTATGAATAAAACTTATACATTTGAGAAGGTCACTTTTAAAATGTAAAATTTAATAAATCATATTAGAATGATACTAGAAAAACATCTATACTCAAGATTAGCAAGCATAGACTTACAAGGAGGAAACATGCGCCAAGCACAACAGCTTTCATTTTCACATCAGCGTTTGAAGGGAATTGGATGCGAAAGTTACTGTAATTTGTAAATATCTCTCTTACAATCCCAGTAAATTGCTTAGAAATCTTGCCAACCACATTTTTCCCTTCAAGAGATTTAATCTAAATTGAATAAAAATGAGTCTTAGAGAATTCTAAAAAACTAATAATAAAACTACTTTTAAAGTTAGAATAAAATGAACACTCTATTAAAGTTATGTACCATAATGAACTTTAAAAATTACATCACTGATTAGATACATCTAAATACCTGCATCTGTCTATAGTTACATGAAAAAAAGAGTTTCTTTACTATAGAGATCATTTATGAAAGTAGTTTTGCTAAAATATTTAGTATTTTTTAATCCCACATTAAGACAGACAGTGATAAATTAGCTGAATTCATCTGAAATATAATTTAAGCAGGAAAAGACACAACTGTGAAATATTGCTTTGATGAAATTTCTAGAAGCCATCAAGGGGGTAGGAAATGAAACTCACATCTGAAGTTCTTCTTTAAGACAAGCACAGAGAGTTTACATAGTCTGAGTGTTTAGAGGTGATGGGAGGCCCCATTGTCACCCACTGTCAGTATGAAAATGTGAAATGCCAGGAGCCTGGAAAAGAGGACTGGCAGTTCTGAGTGAAGGAAAGTAACCGGTAAGTGGGATGCCCCAGGTCCAAGGCTGGGGTCAGAGTGGACAACAGGAGGGGATGGGGGACAACAAACAAGAAAGTGTGTATGAAAGAAAAAGGCTCCAAAGTAAATTTCTTCTAAATTTACAGTTCTGCCTATGGAAAGCCAAGGGCCATGATAAAAAGTTGAACAGCTTATAGGCAGACAAGCACACCTCACCAAGTGGGCACATAGGGGCTGAAAGTAGCCTCCAGTCACCAAAGTATGTACAGGCAGGGTTGTGTGAACCCAGGAAGAGGAGTGTCCTTTTCAAATGTACACAAGGTACCAAATGTGCATGTATTAAATCCTAGCTCAGGTTGGGACTAGCTACGTAAATGTGAGGAGACTAAAAACAGCTGACTCATTTTATTTGGGTGTGGGTAGTTAAGTTCTTTAAAAACCTGCATTAAACTTCTAACATGAACACTGCAATAGCATGGATTACTCTTCATCAAATATTCATTTCAATCCCCTCCCACTGTTAGCCCAGTATCCTTCCCTGCACATTGAAATTAGGCTTGGCCATGTGCCTTGTTTGACTGACAGAGTGTTAGTGGATGTGACATGAGCAGAGACCTTAAACAGGGCTGAGTGGTTTGGCCTTGAGTCTTGCTCTCCAGGGATCAGCCACCAGAAAAGCATGATCAAGGCAGTTGCTGTTGCTACAGCTCCAGAATGAACATACCGGGAGCAGACCTGAGACCACTGGCAGCCTTAAATCAGAGCCATCTTGTTGAGCCCAGGTATATCCCTCAGATACATTTGACTTGCAGACCCATAAGCAGGAGAATAAATGCTTATTTTTTTAAGCCACTGAGCTTTAGGGGTTATATGTTATGCGACATTATGGTGGCAAAACAGATTAATGCAAATCTCTTGTACACTTTAGTGCTCCATCTGATAATACCTGTCATTTAAGCATATGTAGCTAGTAAATAAATCTTTTTATATTTTGTTTGTAATTTTTGAATATTTTAAAAATTAAAAAAATACAGACAATAACTTACCTGCCACCATAATCTCACTAATAGATATTAACATTTCCCCTTTTTGATTCCTAAAACAAGAACTTTTAAACTGTACTAAAACTCATGCAAGAAATATAAAATGTGATTTTTAATGAGTAGCATCAAAAATATGAATAATGATTCGAAACTGAAAAGTTATCAGGACCAAGTTTTTTTAGCTGAATTTTGAAGGAGAAAATTTTTGTAATAAACTTACTTCAACCTGGAGATTATTTATTTGTATTTGTGACACAAGAAGAAATACATATTTAGTCTTCGTCCCTGGTTCCTGACATACAGCTGTAAAACTGTTGTAATTTTCTGATTAATAGGGATTGTAGGAGAGTCTTTTGTCACAATATGTGGTCTTTGTCCCAGGTTCCTGGCACATAGATGCTACCATTTTTGGAATCTCTTGAGTGATAAAAGTTTCGTGGGCTAATGAGATGACTTGTGGCTGTGGGCCCCTGACAGTTTCAGCTTGGGGGCTGGTCACCAGAAAGTCCAAGCAATGATTAGAAACTTGGCACTGTGAGCCCTTCCCTTGACCTCTGGGGAGGAGACAGAGGCTAGAGACTGACTTAATCTCCAGTGGCCAGTGATATAATAAATCATGCATATGTAATAAAACTTCCATAAATACTCTAAACAACAGTATTTGGAGAACGTCCAGGTTGGTGAACACATCCATGTGCTGGGAGGGTGGTATAGCACAACTCCATGGTGACAAAAGCTCCTGTACTCAGGGCCCTTCCAGACCATCCCTATATAATTCTTTATCTTCCTCTTCATCTGTATCTTATAATATCCTTTATAAAAACCTGTAAACATGAGTAAAGTGTGTTCTGAGTTCTGTGATTATCCTAGCAAATTACTGAGCCTAAGGAGGGGGTCATTGGCATCCCTAATTTATAGACAGTAGGTCAGAAGTGCAGGAAGTTTGGGCCTTGTAATTAGCATCTGAAGTAGGCATAGTCTAGTGAGACTGAGCCCTTAAGCTTTGGGGTCTGCATCAACTCCAATTAGTTAGTGTCAGAATTTAATTGAGTTGCACACCCAGTTGGTGTCTGGAGAATTGGAGAACTGTTTCATAGAGAGAAAAAAAACATACATTTTGTATCAGACATGTGGATAAAAAATAGAATTATGGTATATTTGAATTAAATTGATAAATCTAAAAATTTAATACCAATATTTGATTAATACATTCTAAAAGGAAAACTATAATTTTACCTACAATGTAAATATAAATAAAAAAAAATCCAAATAGAACACTAGCAACCTAGGTAAGTATCAAAAGAATATACTATAATAAAGGATAAAATACTAAAAAAAGATAAATTATAAACAAATCATCATATCAATGCTGCTGAAAACATATTTTTTAACTAATACAATATATAACATTTAGTATATTCATGACATACAAAAGTTTTACAATTGTTAGATAATTTAATGCTCATAGCCTTGCATAATACGTAGTTTTACTGTATACAATGTTTATATGAGAAAATTGAAGCAAAGAAAGGTTAGCTAATTTGTTCACATTGCACACATAAGAAATCATGGAGGTGGGTTTCAAACCAAGGCATTCTGGCTCCAGAGTCTGTACCCCTGACCATTACGATGTTCTGACTTTTAAAAAGTTAAGTATCAATTTTCAATAAAATTATTAGTCAAGAGTCAGGAAATAATGATCAATGAACCGATCTGTCAGTTTCTTTTTTTTTTAAATAAAGATTTATTAGCACACAAATATATCCATTCACTTATGTATTATCTTTGACTACTTTCATGCTATAATGGTAGAACTGAATAGTTGCAACAATGACTCTATGGACCACAAAACCTTAAATACATTCTATATGGCTCTCTCCAAAAAAAAAAAAAAAGGTATGCTGATTTCTGTGCTAGGTAACATAGGAATAGAAAAATGATATGAAACACAGTAGCAATATCTTCCTATATTATAATATTTGCTACTATTTCAACTGAAATGATCAAATTGGTAGCTATTGCCTCTATTGTCATCATCATCATTATTATTTTTGATCTGTAGTTAGGCTGGAAAAAAATGAGCCCACTGGTATATAAACAGCATATGAACTATCATAATCTCATTTGCACTGTGATTTTATACCTAACAAAACTAAGTAAATAAAGCTGAAACACCTACATTTAATATTAAAATACAGTCATATGACTGAATTAAAGGTAAAGAAAAATAGCTTTTCTCACTATTTATAATAAGCACCTCAAAATATAAATACTACTTTTTAACAGTGATAATGCTATAAATTACAAATAAACAACAAAAAAAGTAGAGGTTCTATATGAAGAAACCTATATGGTCTTACAAAGAATACGAAATAAGATATGAATGAAAGACATAAAACTTCTTGGATGGATCAGGTTTAGCACCAAAAGTATGTTAATTTTAAAAAAATGATAAATAGATTTCACACAATACTTAGAGTCTACCTTCTAAAAAATTAAACAAAATGACCTTAATGTCCATGTGAAAGGAAACATTAGACAACAGCAATACAATATGATAAATGAAGAATACTGAGTGATCATTTTGCTCTGACTTGATGGATGACATATCATTAAGACACCATACTCATATCATAAGGTGCTGTTGTGAAAGCAGATTGTTAGGTCAGTGCAACGGAGGAGAAAGTCTAGAAATAGATTCTGTTACTTGTGGGAATGCAATGTATGGTAAGGATAGTATTTTAATTCAGCAAGGAGTAAATAGTTTACTTAATAAATTCTGATGACACAGTGTCTAGCTGTGGAAAGAAAATAAAGTTTGCTCCTATCTTGTACTAATAAATTTCCTAGTGAGTTAAAGATTTAAATGTAAGAAGATTAAAAAATAGTAGAAAAAATATAAGGTTTGGGGAGTACTTTCATAATTAAGACTAAAGAATCAGAAGTTATGAACATAAACATACCTAACCATGTATATTTATAAAACTATATATATTCTTCTACTCACTCATGGCTTTAACTACCATCTGGATGCTGAAAACTCCTCAATCTTTTCCTCTACATACCTAAAATCCAACATTACTCAAATACAAATCATTAGCTTCCCACAGATCAACTGTTTCTCCTCCAATATTATTATTTTGGCCAATTACATCATTATTCATTCAGTTTTCTAAATGTCAGACATCAGAATCATCTTCAGATTTTCTTCCATCTTCAACACTCATCAAATCCATGAATCAGTTCCACTCAGTGCACTTACAAAATATCTCCAAATTATTTTCTCCTTTAGAATGGCACCTCCTCCTTCATGTTCAGGGTGTTCTCTTTTCTACTCCAAGGTTCCATGACCATTGACATCGTGATGGAGTCCATGTTCCACAGTTAACCCTCATACTGATAAATTCTACTTTAAGGTGTCAAACTTTCCATCAGAAGTTGATTTAAATGACTATTTCTCATTCTCTGAAAGATGGTGCTTAGTTAGCATCATTCTAGAAGTACAGGTGAGAAGTTAACTCACTATATATGAATTAAAGCATCCATTGATAAAGGTTGCTGGATAAAATCTAAATTCCTTAGCATTAAATATTAGAGTTTCACAACACTTTTCCAGTGTTTTCACCAACTTTACCCAAACAGAATATATGCTATCTAAATCTCTGTTAATATTATTCCCTAAATGAATAATTATCTTTCCATTCTTCTGAAGTCTTGTTAGATATGCCATCTTCTACATGGAGAAGTATTATTGTTTATATACTTTTATACAAATTTCTTATATGAACCTATTACACACATATTATATATATTCCTATAAAAGAGCTTTATAAAATCTCTCTACATTATATATATTTTCCTAGAATTACCAATCTCTGTCATTAGACTCTGAAATCTATAAGGGGAGTGACTCATCTTCATATAGCCAAACTCTAAAACCATCTGACTAGGGAATCTAGGCAGATAATGTGAAAGAAAGATGCTGGGTAGTGGGAAACCTTAGGAAATTAGGGGACAGTGGCAGAGTTCTCATGGCTTATCATAAGGGGGCAGCCCTGCTCAGTTTTAGATTTTTGCCCCATCTATGAAAATGAGTTCCAGTTTAACAGATTTTATGATTTTCCAAGAGAATCATGATATCAAGATTAAGCAATAAAATGTCTCAACCTTTAAACATTTGTGACTAAACACTTTGGGTTATGGGGTTAGGCCCCATCTGTTGGAAAACTGCTGTGATGAAACTCCTCTATGTAGTAAATATACTGATAGATTGTGGTTCATAGAGATCAATTTAATACAGAGATAAAAGAGATGCCATAAAGAAGCACAAATGGTAGTGCATCTTACATTATCTTTGTTAAAATTCTCTTTGCATAAGTGAGCTTTCTGTAGGAACTCAAAGATGTTAGAGCTTTTCAAGAGGGCCTAGATCACTGGCAGCCTGTATTTCAGACTAAGAAAGGACCGTATGCTTTGGCAATCAGACATGGAAGACAATATTAGTATTCTAATTGAAATAGATAAAATACACAGTACCTCCATACAGAAAACACCATGTTTAAATGTTAGACGTTTTGCTTATATTTATTTGACTATAACACTTTTTTCTTTTTTCACATTTAGAAGGATTAACACTGATGTTTAATAAGAGCAAAAACCACATCTCTAGTGAAAGTTAATTATATGAGCACATTACCTTCCTTTTGAGATCATTATACAAATATGTATTTTAATGTATTTGTAACATCTTACAAAATTATAATATCCTTAGTTTAGGAGAGCCAATCTTACAAAAGCTATCACATCTCTTACCTCAAAATCAACATCTCCACAAAAGCTGCACATGAAACATGGACCAGTAATTCTTAGTATATCCTTTCTCTTCTCATTTTGAATTCTAAACTTTGGCAGAAATAGGTGTCTGATCTGGGTGACATAACCTATTGGTATCCCAGGAGGAGCGTGGATTTCTATCTATAAAAGCAAAAGAATAAATGTAATATATCATTATCATCATCATCTTCATTATCATGTATCTAATAAGAACTCTCATTTACTGTGTACTTTTTGAAACTGGCATATCCTTTTCTTCCAGGTCTACTGAAGTATAATTAACAAATAAATTATAATATATTTCAAGTGTACTGTGTGACGATTTGATACACATGTACATTTTGAAATGATACCACAATCAAATTAGCACATCCATCATCTGAGTCACTTTTCTTTTGATGTGAATATTTGAAGTCTACTCTCAGCAAATTTCAAGTGTAGAGCATACAGATGACCCTTGAACAATGCAGGGGTTAGGGGCACTGACTCCTCTGGCCATCCCCATGACCCGCCCCCACCGCACACTCAAAAATCAGCCTTTACAGCTGGCCCTCCATATCCAAGGTTCTGCATCTGTGGATTCAACCAACCAGAGATTGTGTAGTACTGTAGTGCTGCCGCATGTATTTACTGACAGGGCCACGTGTAAGTGGACTCATGAAGTTCAAACCCAAGTTGTTCAAGCATCAACTGTAGTATTAACTAGTCATCGTAATATACATCAAGTCCCCAGAAATTATTTATTTTATAACTGAAAGTTTGTGCTGATGACCAGAATATCCACATTTCTCCCACCCCTCCATCCCTTGCAACCACCATTCTAATCTCTGTTTTTATGAGTTAGTTTTTTTTCAGATTTCACATTTAAATGATACCATAATATATTGTATTTCTCTGTCTATTTCACATGGCATAACACCCTCCAGGTACATGCATATTGTCACAATGGCAGAATTTCCTTCCCTTTTTTGGCTGAATATATTTATATATATATATATATATATATATAAAAATGTGATATATTCTTTATCCCTTCATCTGTCAACAAACACTTAGGTTTTCTCCATATCTTCACTATTGTGAGTAAAGCTGCAGTTAACATGGAGTGGAAATACCTTTGAAAGCCTGATTTGACTTCCATTGGGTATGTAACAGAATTAGTATTGCTGGATCATATAACTGTTCTCTTTTCAGTTATCTGAGGAAACTCTACTGTTTTCTAAAGTGGCTGTACAAATTTACATTCCTACAAGAGTGTATAAAGGTTCCCTTTACTCTACATCCTTGCAACATATATTTTTTGTCTTAAAAAGATCCATTCTAACAGGTGTGATGTGGTACATCATTGTGGTTTTGATTTGCATTTTTCTGATGATTAATAATGTTGAGCAGCTTTTCATATATCTGTTGGCCATTTGTATGTCTTCTTTCAAATCATGTCTATTCTGGTCCTTTGCCCACTTTCTAAGGGCAAGATATTGTTCTACGCACCACTTAATTCACACTACATCCTTAGAAGGTTGGCTCTATTATTCCTATTTATAGACGAAATAACGGAGGAACAGAGAGGTTAATTAACTTGTATCAGATTCCCCAGCAGCACAGTGGGAGAGATGAGACACAAACTTGGGGAAGCTACGTGCACAGTCTCTACACTGAAGCACTGCTCCACTGGTCTCATATTTTTTAAATTTTCATACTTACATGAAAAATATCTAAATTATTAAAAGTTCTTTTCTTAAACTCCTTTAAAAACGGTGGTTTCCATGTATGGACAGAGCTCTGATCATTGGAGCAGTTTTCAAATATGAGTGGCAGTGGTGCTGTGATGGAAAGAAATGGGGCCTGGAGTCTTGGTTCTGCTATATCGTTGGGCCACTTTGAGACCATTCCAGTATGTTTATCCTAACTAAGGACCTCCTAGGACTGTTTATTGAGATCAATAATATAATATATGCTAATATGCTCTATAAATTGTAGAGAATATTCTGTCAAACGCTTAGTTTTTCCTCACTTATTCTTATGAATATTATTATATCTAAACTAAACGACATGGAAAACAAAACAATTCGGTATGAATAAGTTCAGTTTTCCTTTCGAAATAAGTACAGTATTAGACGTCAGATATCTATGTGCTTGCGTGTCTGTCCTGCCCTCACAGCTGCCCGTATGGATGGCTGAGTGACAGGCAGGACTGGGCTCAGGCCCGTGGGATCTAGGCAGAGGCCAATGTTCTGTAAGCACACTACCTGGCGTCTCCCCTGAGATCTATGTTCTTCATCAGGCTGTCAAGTAACATGAAAGAGACAGCTGGACCTCATGGAGCTGAAGGTACTCACAACTAGCATATCCCTATTACAGGGACTCAAATATGTTACTTTTTCCCAATGGAGAACTGAAAAACACAGGACTTGAGATTTCTCAGGGGGCCTTCTCCTAGGTTTGCTCCTTGGAGGTTGGCTAAAATTGTGAGATGAACACATCTGTCCTTTTCCTCATTCTCCTGTCCACTTGCCTCTGGGATGGCATTCGAGGGTATCTCCATGGTGCCCTCCTCTGGCTTTGGCCAGGCCCTCATGGTCATTTTGGGAGAGGGACTTGACCGAGGTGCCCTACCTTCTTAGCTCTCCCTGAAGATCAAGGAGTCTGGTCTCTGAGATCTCTGATCTCACCCCCAGGAGGCACCCTACTCAGGGACAGGGGGCTAACTGCTCACTCTTTTCCACCTGCCTTCCTGTACAGTTTACTCTCAGGTATAAACCAATAGCTTATGGACCACTTTTCCTTTAGATCTCACTTTGATTATATAAATTCAACAAGAGGGTAAAATTCTTACAGAACTACTTTGCAAAGTACCCTGGTAATTGCTCACCGACCTCCTGCAGGCAGCAGGGGAAACAAAGCCAGTTAATCCTTAGCGGTCTCTCCAGAGTTATGACCTCTCGGCCTATAAGATCAAGGATCCTCATGGTAAAAGGCCTAAAAGCCCCACAAAAATATCGGGTACAGCAATCAGTATCCTCTGCTGCAAAGTAAATCCTCTGTCCAAGGCTGTTCTTAATTTCATATTTGTTATTTGTTTCAATATGTATTATGACTGAAAATGTAGAAGATAAAATCAAAATCATCATTATGTTAAAAATATAGATTAGATTCAAAAATTTTTCAGATATTACTTTAGATGATACTTCATGTCACATAAGGAGGAAGAACAGGAAAGGGGTTTAGAGATGATCTAGTCAGAGAAAAAAGGGAAAGAGAGAAAGAGGAGGGGAAATTAAGCTACAGAGAAATTAAGATGATTTATGTGAGGCATGGAAAAGAAAATAACCTGTATATTCCTAATTGCATAGGCCCCTGTCAGAAAGGGAGACTCTGCTGTGAGGGCTGGTGCGAAGCTGCAGAGGGCCGGAGCTGTGCTAAGTGTATGCAGAACATGTCACCTTGTTCGTATGTTCAAGTGTGGAGGAGAATACAGGATGATTGCTCTGTTTATGCTCCTTATAAGATGACACTGAATAAACTGGCTTGAGATTTTGTTTTGTAAACCATAGCCATGGCTTACAATTCTGCACTGTGTGAGGAAGGTTATGACAGGGCTTACCCACAGTGCACACGTATGAAGAGGAAGGGAATGGAAATGGAGGTGAGGTAGAATGCTCAGCAGTGTATGTTCAGAAGTGGGAGATGGGCACCCATCCAAATGCAATAAGTTGACTCTCTTTGGAAACGTACTAAGGTAACTGTAAGTACATGGTACTAAGTTAACATGAACTATTGCCTGTGGCTCTGTGCCAGTCTCAAGGTTACCACAGACTGGGAGAAAATAGCTGCAGTATAGAAATCAGGTAATGTGATAGATTCCCTCAAGTGATTTCTAGAGAAAAAAGGGAACAAAAGTAAATTTGATTGTTTCCTTCTGAGTTGGGGTTTTTAACTTGAAGACAGGTACTAGAGTAATAGTATTTTACCACTCAACTCCTAATTTCCAGAAATGAGCTACTGATAATCCTCATCAATTCATTATCACAGAGAGAGACAATTGTAAATCACCAGGTTTAACACATCACTGAAAGTGTTATATTGGTGGTTGGTGATGTGCCTTTATGTATATAAACATCCCCTCTTTCTAGAAATAGAATGAATACAATGAATACATACCTTCTGTAAGTTCAATTTGCTGATGAATCTGAATCTGATCTATCTATTATAGCAAACAAAGGATTCAGCTATAAGCATATATCATGTTTTTTAAAGCCAACCAAATTAAGATACATTTTTATATTTTCAAGAATGCATATAAATAATTATCAATATTGTCAATATTTAATCATAGTTTATATCTTTGGTGTAAAAAGAAATTTAATATATTTATAAATGAAAAAATACATATTGAATATGTTCAGTATTCCTATGGGCAAATTCAAGTGAAATAAAATTGACTTACACTAAAACCCCTTTAAGAATAAGAACACACTGTTCTTTCTAGAAGGGGTTTAGGAAATATTTTTAAAAATTTATCCATTTAAAGGCATTTATTACTATAAATCTCAAAATTTTTCTTTTTCATGTACTTGATATCATCATTTGTAGTAAGCAATAATTTTCCCTACATATTTTGTAAGTCCTTGATTTTTTTAAAGAAAATCTATTTAGGGTATTTCTTAGACAATATATGAACTAATAAACTTCTTGAAAATTATGATGCCCAGGTGCATTTTGGAATATTAAATTAGTGTAGAGAGTGCAAGGGACACAGCTCAGTTTTTGAAAAGTGGTTGGATAGCATGGGAATATTTATTTTTGTATCATTTTAACACATAGAACTTCATATTCTTACTTTACCTATGAGATTTCTAACATCAAACAAATGTAAAACCTCACTTTGCTGAGATAAGCTATCATGTAGCAATTTGAAATCCAGGACTATTTTTTCGACTTTATGGTTGCAGTTATAAAACTGGGTCTTCAAAAGAATAAAAGCAACAAAAAAATGTAATTTTATTAATTCTAATAAAATTATACACAAAACATTACTCCATTTTGGTACCACTTGTTCAAACAACACAGTTTTGTTTAATGTTTGTTTCTAACTCCTAGGAAATTATTCAGTGTTGGGATTAAAGGGCACAGGATCCAGAACCAAGGTTCCAGAAGTAAAAAGCCATTCCCACTTCCTCTGCATTTTGATGCTGAGCAAATTATGTAATCTCACTAGGCCTCAGTTTCTCTTCTGTAAAACGATGATAATTATAGCAACTACACATCATAGAGTTTCTAAAGGATTAACTGAGTTAACACATGTATTC